GGACAGAAGAAGAGAGGACAGAAGAAGAGAAGAGGAGAGGACATGAGGAGAGGAGAGGACAGAAGAAGAGGAGAGGAGAGGACAGAAGAAGAGAGAAGAGGAGAGGACAGAAGAGAAGAGGACAGGACAGAAGAAGAGAACGGGAGAGGACACAAGAGGAGAGGACAGGACAGAAGAAGAAAAGAGAGGACAGAAGAGGAGAGGAGAGGAAAGAAGAAGAGGAGAGGAGAGGACAGAAGAAGAGAAGAGGAGAGGACAGAAGAGAAGAAGAGAGGACACAAGAAGAGAAGAGGAGAGGACAGAAGCAGAGAGGACAGGACAACACAACATGTATAAAAGAGGCAGAATGAAGGAGAGGGCCAAAGAAGAAAGAGCAGAACATGACGGAGCAAAGAGCAGCACAGGACAACGACAGCAGAGCGGAGAGGAACAGAGTCGACCACAGCAGAGCAGGGGAATTGTATTCTGGGGCAACAGAAGCTGCCATAAACCAAAGTGTTATCTCCGAGCGGTAAGCAGTGGTGAAACAAATGCAAAGCCTCAGAAAGGAGCGAACATGCAAGCAGACGGGCTGAAATGACATCTAACGACTTTACTGGGACGGACAACAAAGCTTCGCTGCCTTAGCGCAGGACGCAGTTAAGTTTGGAGCAGAAAATTGATCCGCATCCCTCATACGCATCCAAAAAGCTGCTCGCTTCTCCAGCAGGGCCCCTGTGTTCTCCAGCTGCCGGGAGTTTGTGAGGAAACAAACCTCTGGCAGAGAGACTGTGTGTGTGTGTGTGTGAAGTGTGTGTCAGTGTTATTAATGACACACACTTGTGTAACTGAGCCTTATGAGGATACAGCTGCTTTTATACCCGACCATAAGTAGGTAGGAAACAGGAGGCGCTCACACACACACACACACTAACTGTACAGTATATAACCTAGGGGAGAAAAGTTTTTTTTTTTTTTTTTTTACCTCTTCCAAGGAAGTTATGTTCTCACCACTGACTGTTTGGAAGCAAGATTACACAAAAACTTCTTAACGGATTTCTACTAACGTGTCAGGATGTGGTCAGGCAAGAAACTCATTTTTAGTCCAGGGTTTCTCTTTTTCTTTTTATCTTCTTACGTTATGAGATCGTTTTCCAACATTTTCATAATTTTAATTCATTAATTAACTGTCTCGCTTGCTGTGAACACGTCCACTGTAATTGTGGTGTAAAAAGTTGGAAGGTGCAAAAACTGTCTGTAGATCAATATCGAACCAACAATACATTCATGCTGCATTGTTTCACTTTGAACACTGACATGTGGAACTCAACACACACACACACACACACACACACGCACACAGGAAACACACGTGTGGCTGAGGTGGTGAAACAGCCCCTGAGAACAACACTGTGCTCTGAGGCGCATCACGACAGGGTTCGCCACAGGGACCAATTAGGCCGGTGCGCAGAGAAAAGCGCCGCCCGAGCGCTGCGCCGCTTCACACCCAGTTCAAAAGGCCTAGTGTTCGGCCGGACAGCTGAGGGGGTGGGGCCGGATTATCCTGAGGAAGGGGGTGTTAGTGTGTGTGCCAGCATCTGCTGCATCCCTGGTTGCCATGGTTACACTGCTCTACTGTACGGCAGTAAGCCGGTGCTGATGTAACGCCACCTGAACGACTGCTTGAAGCCGCCGTGTGCTGCAGTTTAACGTTCATAAATCATCGCCACATTAATTTTCCGAGACATTAGTGTGATTGTAAATAAATAACGGTGAACAAACGAGGCCGCTGCTGAGACGCGTGGCCTCTGCTCTCTATTTTATTTTGTCCACAACAGAGCTGCAGCGCTTCAGGGCAAAATTAAAAAAAATAAACAAATAAAACTTGTTTCACTGCTCGTGAAGAAGGAAACATGTTCGTCGTCCCAGTGAAAGATACTGAACTGATTTAAAAACAGAGGGAGGAGGACGATGAATGAACTTGACACTGATTCACTGATTTTTGCTTTACATACATAATTAACTGTCAACAATTACTAAAACACTGTTTGTCAGTAACGTGTTAAAGGGCAAAAGACGGCATTTGGAGGCACTGCATTATGGGAAATGTAGGATCTTGAGCTATTGTATGAAGCGATATCTGCCTCTGCTTCTTAAATTTCGAGGTGAAAACCCTGGAACTCATATGTCATTAATATATAACGTTCAACTCCTCGGGGGGGGGGGGACAAGGAAGTGCGGCGTTAGTTCAGCTCGGACTAAACGTCGACGTATGTTTACAAGAACAGACTCTAGAGTTCAGGTTTCTGAGCTTCACCCAACTTTGAACAAACAGGTGAACAGAGGCAGGTTCAGAACAGACACTGCACCAGGAGATAACACGTGTAAATAAGCCGGGACACATTGTTAATCTCTGGACAGAGCTCTTTCTGCACCGCCTACAAATCCAATCACGTGTTTCTATTAACTGTATCATCAAATCCACGACTTCACAATTTATATTATCTTTTATTGTCCAGCTTCCCTCACCTGAGCACTTCGTTAGGGTTGCCTGAGATGGGGGTCTTCTTTTCAGGGGCTCCGTGGCACTCGGACTTCAGCAGGGTGTGAGGTCCGCGGTCCATCATCATGGTGGAGGTCGCCATAGTGATTATCGCCACGCCGTCGCGGACACGGGCCTCGAGGCCGTAGTCCCACTCGTCGTAGGACACGGAGAGCAGACCTGGACGGACAAAAGCAAAAGGGGGGGGGGAGGCGGGAGAGAAAGATCAGGAGATGTTGAAAAGAAGAAAGACGGTGAGATAGGAAGGATTAGACGGATGGATTGGTAAGAACTCAGGAAGTACGAGAATGAGAGAGGTGGATTGGATTAGACGGGAAAGTGAAGCGACGGGGAGACAAAGGAAGAAACGGACGGACAGATGGAGGGAAAGTGAAGCAGGAGACGGGAGTGGAGGTGCACAGAGACTACAGGTTTTGAACTCACTCCAAGAGACAGAGCGCTCACGATGCGATGACTCAGAGTCGACAAGCACTCGCATCCTGACTGAGTGAGCGTCTATCACCTTCCTGTGTTTGTCCATCTGTCTGCATTAATCTGTGTCTGTTTATCTGTCCGTCCGACCGACTGAGTCCTGCTCTCTTTTGACAATCTGTCTGTTTATGAACATTCAATCGATCTGTCTCTGTCTCTCTGTCTCTCTCTCTCTCTCTCTCCGTCTGTCATGCCCGTCTCTTCCGGTGCCCTTCTGACCTTCCGCCGGCTCACTCAGCTGTTTGCCAAGACGCTCGTCCAGCCGCCACGTGACCGTCCCCGTGTGCCGTTGACTATCGCAGAGTGAGCCGTGAGTAGACAGACAACACAGGTGCATCTGGGAAAATTACAACATCGTGGAGAAGTGAATACATCGGCCGTTAAAATCCAGTATCTCCACAAAACGACACCCAGAAGCAAAATGACAATATTGTGATATTTTATGATTTTTTTTCAGCTGTGGGTGTTAATTATCAACAATTATCAAAATATACTCAACAAATTAAACATTTTAATTTACTAATGAGTCAATTTATGAAATAACTGATTGAATATTGAACTTTATCACGATATTGTATTTCTTGAGATGCACCTGTACCTGGATAGTTTGAACGTTCTTGCCAGTGTTTTTGACGTAACTATCTTTTTCTTAACCTTTATTTCTGCGGGGACGGCAGACTGAGGATATTTTTTTCCCGCTTCTCAGATTCACACAAACAAAAGATGACAGTGATTTACCTGCACGCCCCCTCGAGGACGTAAATTAATTCATCAATGTGTGTTTTTTATTATTCAGTCTTTGGAAACACGACGCAAAATCAGAGACATTACACATCTATTAGAGCCGAGCTGACATTTTGATAATGAGTTCCACTGATATTAAACTGCCATCATTGATAAGATGATTAACTCGGAGAAAAATGACCGTTAATAAACGACACGCAGTGAAAACAAGAAACCTTTTGTTTACATCTGGATGGAAAACGTGAGCGGCCCTGGCCTCGAGTAACCACAAGCGTCCTTGTGATTCTTTACAACAGCCGTTAAGTGATCGTTCGTCTTTGGGCCCGCGTTGGCGAGCGCGGGGTTCTGGTCACGTGGTCCTCGGTGAAGCACGCCCCGCCTTCAAGCCAATTAGTTTGACTAATCTGTCTCTCTGTCTGCCTTTTAATCTGTCCCCCTGTCTGTCCATCAGCCGATCTGCATCTATCTGACAGCGTATGACCACACGTCAGCCGCTCCACCACCGTGTCAGTGGGCAGAAAGAGACAGGCGCCCTGGCAACCTGCCTTTCCTCGGGGGGGGCCTCAGCGCTGACAGCTCCGGCCCTCCAGGACCACATCCGATGTCACACACTGTTGACATGTTCTCAACACTCGCTCACTGACTCCCACCGCTGCTTCCCTTTAATACATAGAACTGTTATTACTTAATGGGAAGGATCATACGCTGTGTGTGTGTGTGTGTGTGTGTGTGCTGCAGATGTGCATGTACATGGTCTATTCTTTTCCACATCTTGGGAACAGAGTAAATATTCATCCATCTCTCGAGACGTGTTTGAATGTCATAACACAGACATGTCAGCTGGAAACGCTGCAGCTGAGCAGCACTGCAGCAGCTGTACAGGCGTGTTTTCTTTTCCTGCCCAGTAAACTGGCTCCTGTCGCTGTTTTAAAGGCAGCGGCTGTCTCGCTGTCACTGATACCAACACACGTACGTGGAGGAAAAATCACAATCACCGTGACCACACGCAGGCAACCCTGATTGGAGATCGTAATAGTGGAACTAACGTATGACTGGGTATTTTTGGAAACAGCTTATTATTGTCAGTGATGTCAGATTGGGAGGTTACGTCGGCGCAGTCTGTGCAGCGGTGATGTGCAGCTCTGATCAGGAGGAATAGAGACAGAAAGGCTGTTAGTAAGAGAGAGAGAGAGAGAGAGAGAGGGATGCGGAGGAGAAGAGTGAGCAGAAACTCAGACACAAAGATGCAGGGAGAGTCAGAGGAGGCAGAAAACAGAGAGAAGCGAAGGAACAACGGAGGAGAGGAAAGGAAAGGATGGAAGGGAGTAGGAGGAGAGATGGTTCCCCAGAGCGCCACTTAAGGAAGGCATCAGTGGATTACCCAGTAGAATTGGAGGCTCTTCATCACACATGGTGCAAATTATGAAGCGAGCCTCGTAAGCAAATTAGCCCCACAGCCAGCACGCACCTTCCGCTGAACCCTGAACCGCTGCATTCACCCACAGCACACACCACGACACCATCAGTCACACGCTGTGCCGCGCTGTCGTTTGGCTGCGTGTAAGTTCACAAGTTGGCGTGGTTGACTGCCGCTACAGGCTTCATGTGGCTTTTCTGCGGCTGAGGTTGGAACGCAGAGCGAAGGGTTCGACCGGATGATTGAGTTCCACAAACGAAGGACTCATGTTTATAAATGTGAGAGGAACCTCGATCTCGTGCAGTAGAATCTTCTTTTATTGAAGTATAAGCATGAAATGGAGAGAGAGAAGAGTAATCCTGGTTACTTCATGCCTGTATTTGGGGAAACGCCCAGTATTGCAGTATTTTTTTGTGTTATATATTAAATATAAGTGTATTTTTCTATGATGTGGGAGTGTACGTGAATGTTTTTTACAAACAAAATCTGGAATCGGTCCAGTAGATCAATGACTACAATGTAATCCTATGGGGCAACTGTGACAGTCCACAAAATGGCCACTTAAGGTGTTTGTCTTCACCAATTAAAGGCTCAAATTATTATTCAGCGTCTTTGCTAAGAGTCTGGCAACACTACACGCGTCTCGCTCAGGACGAAGTCTCACACAAACATGAGTGAGCCTGAGGTTCGAACAAGCAGGGACGGCCATCGAAGTCAAATCCTTCATCATCCGTGTTCACATCAGAAAAAGACTCAAGACAGAATCTTTTCTCAGTAAAAACTCCTCTCTCCCTCTCTCTCTCTCTCTCCCCCTCTCTCACATTTCCAACTCCAGCCTCCTGCAACAACCCGAGTCTCACAAGACTTGAGAGTGAGACATGTGTGATGTTGCCAGACTCCTAAATAATTATTTTTTGCCTTTTATTGGTAAAAAAAAAAACTTTAAGTAGACATTTCACAGACTTTCGCAGTTGCCCCATTAGATTACATTGCAGCCACTGCCGGTGGAGACGTTCTACTGGACTGACTACAAATGTCTTTCGTCAGTGCCATTCATTTACACACCAACATCCATAAACACATGGCCCGGACTGAACGAGCTGAATCCCCTTTAATGTGCTTGAGCTCATTACGAACGTGAGGTCGGCCTCTGGGGCAGGTTCAAGACCGGAAACGTTTCCTCCAGAGATCCAGCAACATCCACACTCCTCTTCATACGCGCACTGACATACAGCACCACAATGTACATGGTATACGCTAACACGCAATGTTCAAGTCGAACTACCCTGAGTGTGAAATGGTGAATTCTGAATCACATTCATCACACGTTAAATGAGTGACTGACATTTAGCCAGTGGTCTGTCGTTACGTCTCGTATGATTAATCCCATGATAATTCAGTGCTAGCTCAAAAAGCTTTGTGTGTGTCCATCAACGCAGCCTCGCCGCCAGCTCCGCTCTGCAATCATGAGCTAGGCACGATTATCTCCGTGGCAACATAAATCAAGAGGGAAGTTGTTGTGTGATTTACATAACTGATATGGTGATATATCAAACTTTATAGAGTGGAACCCTAATTTGGAAAAGGCAAACTGACACAAACACACACATACATACACACACACCCTCGGTTCTGTTCACCCTGTCCTGCAAGTAAACACTCACCTTGTACGCACACAAACACACACAAACCCATTTGATTACACTCACCCATTATTTTCTCATGCAAATTAAATCATGAACCGAGCGCACATTTCACAGACAAATGCACACCGACATTACACACAAAGGCCCCCGAACACACTCATGGGCACACACGCAGGCGCACGGCACACACCTAACTCCAATTTAGAATAAATCATCCATGGATGCCAATAAGGGAGCAAGAGGTAAAAAGTTTGAATTACAGTGCGTGAACAGCAAAACGATTTCTGGTTCGGCCCGGCAACCATTTCCCAGAAACTGCTGAGGACAGGCGGGACTGTAATATCTCGCCTTCGCCGTAAATCAACGGGCCAAACACCGACAAATTATGGAGCTCATAGGTCCAGAGTAAATATACAACCTGCTCGACAGTTTACTCTGCTGCAGAGAGTGAAAACCGACCAAAGTCACGGAAAGTTCCGTCAGTTGTGTGCTGGTGGTGGCGGCGGCGGCGTCTCTAACAAGAGGTTTGATTCCGACTGCGAGCTGGCCTTTCTAAAAGTGTCCGTCCACCCCCGAGGGCTGAAAAGTGGTGTTACATGACGCGGTGTGACAGGTGCGCCTGACGGACTGTGTGAGCAGGTTGAGTGGTTTGTGCGCCCCAACTTAGATGTCACTTTGGTTCCACGTTTGACCTTCAAAGGTTACAATGACCTCCAGTGGTGTTGTGGGGGGGGGGGGGGGGGGGGGGGGGATGCTCCCTCACTTGTTAGGAAAGGTCAGGTTGTTTTTTTCTGTCTTGCAGGAAAGAAAGAAAAAAAAGTCGAAAGGGACGAAAACTAAAAAAAAAATGAATTCGGGAAAACATGTGAATGTTTCTGCTGAGTGATGGAACGAGGATTTTTTTTTTTTAGCTTTTAAGCTCATTGGACAGTTTGATAAAAATAAGTGAGGTCCTGATTTAAATCATTTCGGGTCAAATCGTCACACTTGTGTTTCGCATCATTACAGAAAACATTCCGGTTCTCAGCTCCATATTTATCTCAACCGTTAACATTATGAGAACAGAATTGTTTTATTTCTTTGTTATCACTTATCTTTTTCGGAGACGCACGGACAAATCGCATTCTTATTCTATTCTCTAACGGCTTCATGAAGGATTATAACAGTGTACGTTGAACTGCGAAGAGGACGATAATGTGACACGAGCCCATTTTCTCCTGATTGTCACGTTACGGGCGAAACGAGTATCTGAGACGTGATGAAGATTAGATTTTACAGCATCAGTGACCTCCCTACAGACCGAGCCCACCTGAGCAGATGCGTGCCTTCATGGTACTTTTTGCACTTTGATAACCATCAACCAAACACTGCATGAAATCTAATTGTTGCACTCACAAAGGGTTTAGGATCTGAGCTCAAGGCGAGCCTTTTTCTACGCCGAGATAAAACATGTAATCCCGTTTTAATTCCTCATTGGGACCGAGCGTCGTGACGTGTTTTCGTACCTGTGGGGAACTCTGCAGGCACGACGATTGTGTCTCCGGCTACCAGAGAGGGCACTATCCACGTGTAGCCGTAGCCGGTGATCCCGACAGAGTGGGCCACCTCGAAGATGGTGTTGGCCTCCTCTTTTGTGCAGTAGAGAAGAATGACGGGGCTCTGCAGCTTCTTCAGCTGGTTCTGGATCTTTGAATCTCCGTCGTCTACGGACATGTCGAGTAAAATAACTTCCTCCAGTTCCCAGCCCACAAAGCTGTTCTCAATGGTGCTACGGATCTAAACAGAGGAAACAGAGGGGGATCAGTTTGTTTTCATGTCAGGGATTCTCAAACACTTGGTTTTTGTCAAGGAAAATTCTTCCTGAAATACTATTGTTGTATATTTTTGTGTAATTCTTTAATTTATTGACTCATTTATACAAGTATACTCGTATCTGTCTCACCAGTCTGACACGTGTTCCAAAGAAACCAATTAATTCATTAGAAGCAGTTAGATTAAACACATCTGGGATTATCAGGGGGGAGGTCCAGTTCATACCAACCTCTGAATGTTCTGCTAACTTGTGTTTAATCAGCATCATATATAAAAAGCTCATTAATCACCCACACCACGATGAGGCTGTGTCTTTGTTGCTGTTTGTCTGTAGCTGGATTAAAAAAATGATTTCTGTTATATTTTGTGGGGTCAGTTTAGGACCGGATCTGGATAAACGTGCCGATCCAGGAATTTTATCCCAATTTCTTTCACAAGGCCGGGCGAGGGACGTTTTTTCCAACATTTTCGTAAATTTCTCAAGAAATAAAATCAGCCTCGACAAACGTATGAGCTCTGTGAGTGTCCTTCTGGTTCCTGAAGTATATGTCACAGAGCAGGGCTGAAATATTGAACATTTTTGCTCTTTATCACTCTTGCTCTCCACCCCATGTTATAAACTGAGTCCCCCTTTTCTCTACTGCAGCATTCGTAGGACCCAAGGTTGAAGCCAGAACTGAACATTAGATCTCTGTGAGAAGTCACTCTGTCCTCCTTGGAGACAGATAGAGAAGACACAGACACATTCGTCTGGCGAGACGAGTCAAGCTTTAGATATATTTGTCCACTGGAACAGCTCCACATGAAGACAAATCGCATGTGTGACGTGGAGACAAGTTAATAACTATTTATTTGTTTACTGTCTCCCTGACGATGCTTCAGTATTAAGAATAAATACTTCTGGCAAAAACTTCATCCCCCCCCCGTCTCGGCTGAGCGTGGTTACCTTGGTGACAAAGTCCTGGTAACCTGGGTAGTAGGTGGTGACGATGGAGAAGATGTACCAGTCGTATTCCTCCATGATGTTGAGTATGACCGAAGCCTGCTGCTCGATGGAGGGGCCGAACTGAAAGAACATGGAGTTGTCGTCCTGGGAAAGACACAAACACGCGATGGTTACGTAACAGCATTGTCCTGAACTTTAATTTGCTCGGCTTTACAAACACACAGGAGGACGGCAGCTACTGAAAGGAACGGTGGCGGATTTGTGACATTACTGCTGCGAACATTAATTTGGCTGCTTTTATTCTCTCGCTCGCAGAGGAGAGATGCGAGAGGACACCAGTGGGCTAATGTAATGATACCGGTCATGATTTTCATTAGTTGCCTTTATGACTCTTTTAATGAGTTTGTACACGTGGATGGCTGCAGGGGAGAAAAAGAAATCAGGGGGGACTCGAGGCTGCTGTCCTCAATGTCATCTGTCATTTTCAGCCGTTTGCTTTTATCACAAGCGCGTTAAGAGGATGCAGAGTCAGTGTACAGTCACCTGCTCAGTGCTTTGTATCGCACAGTAAACACACCACGAATACACCTCATATAAAAAACATTTACGGAGTTCCTTGCACCGGAGAAGCTCAATCTAAACACTCAGGGCAGAGAGAACACCGATATCCAGGCCTGTGTCCTGCCACAAGTGTTGAAGAGGAATATTGAGCTGGACAGAAGAAGAGGAGGAGGAGGAGGTGAGAGATGTGAGTGCCTCAGCCTATGAGAACTTCTGTGTGCACAATGCACTGTGATCGTGTTCTTGTATATTCATGTGGCAAATAACATGAATGGGAGTTTATTTTGGAGGATTTTTCTGTGAGTAAAATCGGTGGCAGCTGACAGCCGGGCAGGCAGGGTGTTGAAATCTCTCCGGCTTCTTAGGACTCTCTCTCTCTGTCTCTCTCTCTCTGGCTCACTCAACATCAAACGCTAACCTGCCCCTCCCAGGGGACGCACACGGGTTGATCCGTTACCTTGTTGTTGTATTAATGAGATCAGGGCTGTACCGTAGAGGTGGCACGCCGAGGGCTACAATGCACACGTGAAACACTTTGCCAAACACTCTTGCAAATAATGAGCGGTGCTGCACGCGCCCGGTTGAAAACATGTCATTATCCCATGTTGTGTGAAATAAGAAAACATGTGCATCTAATGCCGGGTTCGATGCCGTCGAGGCTGCGTGCGTGAAATAATGACGTGCACACAGATGTTGTGGTCATGTTTCTCAGATAACTTGAATCCATTCGTTCCTCAACTTTCTATCTCTTCTCTTGCTTCCTTCTCTCTCGTCCTTCATCCATCTCTTCTCTCACTCCGCCGTCCCATTTATACCAGTGGAATTACCGCCAGGGCACAGTTATAATTGAATTTCCAGACTCGCACACTCTCGCCTCCTCCTTTATCCTGCGTACAGTGCCCCGTCACCCTGTTCCCCCCCCCC